TGAAACTTTTGTGCTATTCCCTCCATTTTCTTAAACCTCCAATCTCTCCCCTAAGATTCTTGCCACGCGCCACCGCACGCGCCGCCTCTTCCGCACAGTCAATCCAAGCCCAAACTCTCGAGGTCCTTGAATGGCGAGCCCTCTGCAATCAGCTTTCTCCCTTCACTTCCACGACCATGGGTCTCTCCACCGCCAACAACGCCGAAATTCCGGTGGGTAAGTCTCCGGAGGAGAGCCGGAGGCTCCTCAACGAGACGGAGGCTGCTTTGGCGGCCATGGAGGCCATGGGATCGCGGCGCTTGGATCTGTCTAAAGTCATTGATGTGTCGAAAGTTCTGGAGCGTGCTATGGATGGTCAGTTGCTTACAGTCAGAGAGCTCTGCGCAGTTCGGAGCACGTTAATGGCGGCGAGGTCTGCGTTTGATAGATTACAGGAAGTACAACCCACTGATGAGCGGTAAATCCTTCGTTTCACGGAATTTTGCTTTTTATATGGTCTAGAGAGAGCTGACTTTAATCTTCCATATAAACAACAGATTCTCTTTAGGGTTTTGCTTAATTTGTTGATTATGTTGATGAGTTATTTGGTTTAAAGCACTTCCTATGGAGAATTCTGGATGAAGCAACAGACATATGTATTGTACCTTTCAGGCTTAAAGAGTTTGCTAAAAGTACAATGAGATCTGTGAGTGGTCTTAGTGTGTGCCAAAGCAGCTGCCAAATGTTTTTTTAGCCATATGTGCGTAATTTCTCCATTAGTAATCAGAAGCTCAGCTCAAGATTTGAATCCTTTGGTCTTATAGGATCGCTCCCCTAGTCGAAATACTTAAAGGCTGTGATTTCGAGACTGATTTGGAGCAAAAGATTGGTTTTTGCATCGACTGCAACTTATCAGTAATACTAGATAGAGCTAGTGAAGACTTGGAGATCATAAGAGCTGAGAGGAAGAGAAACATGGAGAATTTGGATTCTCTTTTGAAGGAAGAAGCAACTCGGATATTTCAGGCAGGGGGAGTTGACAGGCCCTTGATAACACAGCGCAGATCACGGATGTGTGTTGCTATCAGGGCTTCACACAAGCATTTACTTCCGGGGGGTGTTATTTTAAGCGTTAGTAGTTCAAGGGCAACATGTTACATGGAACCAAAAGAGGCGGTAGAGCTTAATAACTTGGAAGTGAGGCTTGCAAACTCCGAGAAAGATGAGGAAGTGACCATTTTGAGCTTTTTAACATCTGAAGTATCAGACGCGGGAAGGGGCCTGTTGCATTTGTTGGATAGAATCCTAGAAGTTGACATCGCTTTTGCAAGAGCATCTCATGCTATATGGATCAATGGTGTCTATCCAAGTATTACTTCAAAACATGAAAAAGCGGTGAACTTGGGTGGAAATGATGAATCCTTAGCTGTAGATATTGATTCTGTACAGCATCCACTACTTCTTGGATCCAAACTCGGAAGCCCAAAAGATGAAAATAGTTTCCCTGTGCCAATAGACATTAAAGTTGAAAGTGGAACCAAAGTAGTTGTCATCTCAGGACCAAACACTGGAGGAAAGACTGCTTTGTTAAAGACATTGGGTCTAATATCTCTTATGTCAAAGTCTGGAATGTACTTGCCAGCTAAGAACTGCCCGAGGTTGCCATGGTTTGATCTTATCCTGGCAGATGTTGGGGATCCCCAGGTACTACTGTACGATTCCCTGCAAAAGATCATATCAACTGAGATCGCGATTATCTATTTCTGTCTAGGTTTAACAACAACTAAAGCTTTCTTATGAAGAAATCTGAGAGAACGTCTTATTCTTTTCCTGAATGTCTCTGCATGTATATCTGCAAAAAACAATATTGTTTTCTTGCAAATATCCCCTTTTCTGCTTCTGTTAAATATTTATTGAGTTACATAAACTTCTATTTGCAGTCTCTTGAGCAAAATCTCTCGACCTTCAGCGGCCACATCTCACGGATCTGTCAGATAATTGATCTTGCTTCGGAAAAGTCACTAGTGTTGCTTGATGAAATCTGTAGCGGAACTGATCCTTCGGAGGGTGTGGCTCTCGCCACCAGTATTCTGCAGTATGTGAAAAAGCGTGTTAATTTGGCTGTTGTAACCACACATTACGGTGACTTGAGTCGTTTGAAGGATAATGAGCCTCAGTTCCAGAATGCTGCCATGGAATTCTCTATGGAAACTTTACAGCCTACATTCCGAGTACTTTGGGGAAGTATTGGTGACTCAAACGCGTTGAGCATAGCTACATCAATTGGATTCAACAGGAGAATAATAGAACATGCACATAAATGGATGGAGAAATTAAAGCCGGAGCAAGAACTAAAGAGGAAAGGCTTGTTATTTCAGTCCCTTGTGGGGGAAAGGAATAGACTGAATCTTCAGGCAACCAAGGTTGCAGCTCTTCATTCAGACGTGATGAATCTTTACCATGAGGTACTTTTGCTTCTCTTTCCTTGTAAATGGAACGAACCATTGCTCTACTCCATGCAAATTGTCGTTTATGCTCGTGATCTTAGATAGACACATTGAGATAATTTCCTACCGAAAATGGCTACGGATAGTCATGTTGTTGCATCACATCATTGCTGTTTTCTTTTATCAATATTTGGGTGGTTGAAATTTTACCTTCAGTTGTACTTTTTAAAGACAACTTCGGTGTCTGAAACTTTTGTGCTATGGCCTCACTTAACTAGAGATGAACTGACCATCGGTTAAACTTTCTATGTACACTGTTAAAAGGCATTCGAAACTGCAATATTGAATGGGGTGCTCCACTAGAATCTGAAAACTAACATTGTTTTGATGATGTTATACTATTAGTTATGGTATGTATCCCTTTGTAACACTGGTTTCTCTTTTCCTTCTTTTTGTTCCCCTTTGTTTTATCTTTTGAAGATTCGGCATGAGTCAGATGATCTTGATCAGCGTGAAAGGGCACTTCGAAGGAAGGAAACTCAGAGGGTGCAACAAGATCTAGATTCTGCAAAGTTAGAGATGCAGAAAGTGGTGGTTGAATTTGAAGATCAACTAAAAGTTGCTCGCCCCGATCAATACAATTCCTTAATTCGAAAAACAGAAATGGCACTTGCAGAGATTATCAAATCTTGCAGCCCTAGTGATTTTATCTTTGCAGATGAAGCAGACAGCGAGTACTCACCACAAAAGGGTGATCAAGTTCTTGTGATAGGACTAGGAGACAAGATTGCTACCGTCGTTGAAGATCCCAGAGATGATGAGACAATACTAGTCCAGCGCGGTAAGATAAGAGTACGAATGAAGAGGAATGAGATAAAGCCGGTCCGGAATAGCAAAACCAATCAACCAGCTAACGTTGGCATGCATCCGAGGAGACAGGTACCCATCTTCCTCCTTCCAACTCGTTGGGAAATTTCTTGTTTGAGGGCCATGCTTGTATTTGTCTGATTGTGATGTATGAAATCTAATCGTACCCGACATATCTGGTGTATCACATGAGTTAGGCTTTAAAGTGTGTCCTACATGTATGTATTAGATACGTCTAAGCAGTAAAAAGTCTGATTTCACTATGAAAATGACAAGAAAGGTATGCGAAAAGAAAAAGGGTAGAATTGAGGGGCAAAAAGTTCTAAAAGATTGAAACTTTTTGCATAGATAAAGGCTTGTGGGTTAGTGTTCTAGATGCTTGTTCACCTCCCGAAAGGTCTCGGATTCGATCCATAGTTCGGGGATTTGTCACAAACAAGCATGAGTTTGATCTAACCCTTGTCTGATAACCGCGTTTGCGCCTTTCAGACACAGCCTGAAAACAGGTTCAAAGCATTTTCGAACGAACTGCATTTTCTCATAATCAGCAGCTCAGCAGCTTAGGACATATATTTTATGTGCTGATTATACTGTCTGATCTCACTGAGGATTTGAACAACAGCTACGCCGGGAGTTTCCGAGTGCCGCAGAAGAGATAAGAGGAGGGGAAGCGTTCGGGCCGAGGGTGCAAACGTCGAAGAACACGATGGATCTAAGAGGGATGAGAGTAGAAGAAGCAATTCACCAGCTCGAGATGGCGATATCGGGGAGAGAATCGGGTTCGATTCTCTTCATCGTGCATGGAATGGGGACAGGCGTTTTGAAGGAAAATGTGCTCGAGAGGTTGAGAAAGCATCGCCGGGTTTCTAGGTACGAGGAAGAGAGTGCTGTGAACCATGGATGTACAGTTGCTTACATCAAGTGAGTTTTAGTTTCCATTGTTGTCTCGAATATGATTTAAACGGCTCCTTACTACATTCATTCAGTTATTCCTAATATATGAGTATAATGAATTAAAGTAGAAAAAAAATCTTTTTTTTAATGAAAAAACATAACAAAAATCTCAAAATTTGAAAAAGACATTAGTTTGAAATATTAATTACATGTAAATCAGAATCCGAATAATTTTCATCTTTAGAACAAATATAAAAAATAGAAAAAGTCTAAAAAAAAATTAAACTTTCCAATTTTGATTTAAAAAACACTAAAAAAATTTCGTCAAATTTTAAATGAGTCTAAAAAACACTAAACTTTTTAACTAATCCCAAAAAATATATGAACTTTTTTACGAATGTCAAAAAAAAATTATACTTTTGAGTGATTCGAAAAAAATATATGAACTATCTGCGATTGTCAAAAATTCAACTATAATAATCTGACGTGTTTGTATTTCTTTATGACACTTCACCTCATTTTGATTTAAAAAATACTAAATTTTTTTTGTCAAATTTTAAATGAGTCTAAAAAACACTAAATTTTTTAACTAATCCCAAAAAATATATGAACTTTTCTACTATTGTCAAAAAAAAAATATTATACTTTTGAGTGATTCGAAAAAAATACATGAACTATCTCCGATTGTCAAAAAATTCAACTATAATAATATGACGTGTTTGTATTTCTTTATGGTACGTCACCTCATTTTATTTATTTTGACAATCGTAGATGAGTTAAATGTTTAAAGGTTTTTTACGTATTTTTTTAATATGTTGAAATAGTTTAGAAAAACTATACTTTATGATTGGATTGAATTTACTGAACCTTATAAATTATAATTATATAAAAAAATATCTTTGAAATTATTGAAATTTTTATTTAAATATTTCAATTTATTTAAAAGTTATAAAAAAATAGAAATTATAAAAATACAAAAATTACACCAATTCTCTAAAAACTGACAGGTTTCTCTATAAATACTAGAGTTGTCCGAAGATTGAGAATAAAAAATATCCCAACACCATATAAACAGACAAAACCGTCGCATTAGCAAAGTCATCCAAAACATTTTATAAATCACATATATACATATACTGACATATACTCAATCCTATACATATGTATATACACACTTGTATACATATATATATATACATATTTATATACACATACACATATATATGTGTACTTATATGTGTGTTTTTTCCTTAGTAAAGTTATAGATTTTGTGTATGATATCGAGATTTTGCTTTTTTGGATAATTAGGAGGTTCAATAGGATTCCGATCGGTCCAACGTCCAACTAGTATCCTAGATCCAAAATCAATCATTGTTGAACTCCTTTTCTATGGGATTTAAACTTGGGATGAAAGATACTTTGTATCCACACTTACCAGTAGAATTAGTTTATGTGGATATATCAAGATGAAATGAAGATGATCTAAAATTGATTTGGATTTTATGTTCAATCACGTCAGTTTTGATGACGAAACCATCATCGTGGCTAAATGCTAATACCGTTAGAGATTGTGTAATTGACAAACTTTAACGAATTGATAGATTTTTTTTAGACTTTTGCAATTTATACTTCTATAACTATTTTTATAAATTGATATATTTATATAGGATTTTCCCTAAAATGTATCATGAATTTTTTTTAACCAATAAATGTATGATCATGTAGGCTTAAATTAACAAAAAAAAATGTTTTGTGATTTCAGATTTTTTGTAAAACGGTTTAATGAAAACATTATCATTTCCAAAAAAAGAAAAAGAAAAAAAAAAGAAAAAACGTCATAAGCATTGCTACATAACCAAAAGAGTCAGTTCAGCAAAATCCGACTCGGGGGTTTAGTCGGAATGTAAGGCTAAATCAAAACAACAGTGACCCATGGGCCATGGCATCATGACATGCAACGTGGAGCGTTACTCTACATATAATCTTATATTATATATATATATATATAACTACCAAGATCATGAATTTTTTTTATGTAAATAAATGTAGATCAAAATAATAAAAAAGATCATAACGATGACAATGATGATATTTTTTGAATTATTATATTTAGATTAAAAAAAATGTATAAAATAGATAAATAAATTATTTGAAGATAATTTAACTTATATAGTTAAAATATCTATAAAAACAAAACATAAATTATCCAAAAATATATAGAGTGTGAGAATAGAAATAAATATAATATTTTAAATAGTAAAAATTGTATATAAGAATCATCCATATAAAAATTTCTACATTCATTAAAACAATTTTAAAAGATTATAATTATATTCTAAAAAATAGAAAATCAAAAGTTTAAGAAAATATTGTAAGAAATATTATCTAAAATAGTATCAAAGAAAGCTATTTTATTTTTGTTAAATTTAATATTTGTAAAATATTAATATATAATACAATATACAGCAATAACAAAAAAAAACATAAAATTTGTGGAATCAAACCAAGAGATGTGGCCACAAATAGTTGGACATTGGACGCATAATGAATGACCTTTTGAGCCAAGAAATATTTGCTAAAATAAAATACAGCGTATAATATATTCAAAATGAATGGATATATACACACAATATGTACATATATCGTATTTTTCATATAGTCAAAATCATTGGTAGATACATCAGCAATAAATATTTGGTCGGGGATAAGCAAATCGGATTCCATGTAGGTTGTCCAGTAAATGATCTTGTCAATTTCGGTTCAGTTTAATTGTTTGTATTAATAATCGAAAACATGCTATTCAATTTTTGTTTAGTATGGTTTTATTTAAATTAAATCGAATTAAATTGTAATTATATACACCCCGAAAATAAAATCTTCAAATTGTAACATTTGATGAGAATAATAACCACATACTTCCCTTCCACATGCATGCATATATTGAATATGCACCACAGTAGATGGGGGGACTATTCCTTATAAATGTTTTTTTTTTTAATTTTAATTTTTTTTTGGGTTATAAATGAAAATGGAACCAACCAAAGGATCCTCCATTCTTTCTCTAACTCTAACAGCCATTCCTTCCACCTACCACCGCATTGTTTTCTCTCCCTCGCTTCCCTTATTTATCTCTTCTTCTTCTTCTTCAACCTTCCTCCTAATTCATCCAAACAAAACCCCCCACGAGAGAGAGAGAGAGAGAGAGAGAGAGAGAGAGAGAGAGAGAGAGTTGGAGACAATGATAACCGCGGCCCTGCATGAGACCAAGATTCACAAACCGGCTGAAGCAGCAGCCCCTGCTCCTGCCCCCGTCGCCGGAGATGTTGCGCCGCCGCGGATTTTCCGGTCAAAGCTGCCGGACATCGACATTCCGAACCATCTCCCTCTCCATACTTACTGCTTCCAGAACATGTCGTCCGTCGCAGACAAGCCCTGTCTCATCGAGGGTTCCACCGGAAAAACCTACACATACTCCCAGACTCATCTCCTCTGCCGGAGGGTCGCCGCCGGTTTGTCCAGGTTGGGGATCGGAAAAGGTGACGTCATCATGATCATGCTCCATAACTCGGCGGAGTTCGTCTTCTCCTTCATGGGCGCTTCCATGATCGGCGCTATCTCCACGACAGCGAACCCGTTTTACACTCCGAAGGAGATCTCCAAACAGATTCGCTTGTCGGGAGCAAAGCTCGTGATCACACAGTCCCAATACGTCGACAAACTGAAATCTCTCTCCGGCGACAAGGAAGCGGAGAAGTCTCTGATAATCGGAGAAGATTTCACGGTGGTGACGACAGACGATCCGCCTGAGAATTGTCTCCACTTTTCCTCACTCTCCGACGAAAATGAGACCGACCCATCGCCGGAAACAATGGCGGAAACCGGCGGAGACGAACCGGTCGCTTTGCCATTTTCATCCGGAACCACCGGACTCCCCAAAGGAGTGGTCCTAACACACAAAAGCCTAATCACAAGCGTTGCGCAACAAGTCGACGGAGAGAATCCGAATCTGTACCTGAAACCAGACGACCTCGTACTCTGCGTTCTTCCTCTGTTCCACATATACTCGTTGAACAGCGTGTTGCTATGTTCCCTGAGATCAGGAGCGGCGGTTCTGCTGATGCCCAAATTCGAGATCGGAGCGTTGTTGGATCTGATTCAGAGACACAGAGTGACGGTGGCGGCGCTTGTTCCGCCGCTGGTTTTGGCTATGGCGAAGAACTCCGCCGTGAATTCGTACGATCTCTCCTCCGTAAGATTGGTTCTCTCCGGCGCTGCTCCTCTGGGGAAGGAGCTCGAAGACTGTCTCCGCCGTCGCCTCCCTCAGGCCGTCTTTGGTCAGGTTTGTTTCTCTCTCTAAAAATCGCCTATTATCCATATTATTATGTAATGACCCTTCAATTTTTTTATTTTTGTTTTTTTGACCCTACATTCACTGAATTGCAATAACACCCCGTAATAATAGAATATTCGAATTTTAGAGCGAGAGACAACAAAACAAATAGTATGAAAAATATTTTTTCTTTAATTTAAGAAGAAAAAAAAAAGAATTCCGGGTATTTTCAGTTTAAGTTTCCTGGTGCCAGTGGGAGAGTTTTGGTCGGAACTCATCTCTTAATCGATAAATTTGGAAAATCGTAGATGAAATTAAATTTTCAATAAAATAAAAACAAAAAGCACAACTTATAGAATTTCGGGAAAATTAGGGTTTTTATTTTTTATGTATTGAAATTTTGGAATATTTTTTGGGGTTATATATAATTATATATTCATGGAAAGAGAGTGAGAGGGTTTGCGTGTGGTCTCCGGCGTAATTCCGGTTACGTACCGTTGGGATGTTCTCAATGTACTTGGCATTGCTTCTCCCTTTTTTTTTTTTTTAATTCATGAGGGTGTTTCGGTAATTTCAGTCTCATCACCTTATTTATTTGAATCAGATGTGAGGTAGGTTGCCGCTTCGAATGAAGAGAAACAGTTAAATTATAAAACTTTAAAATCAAAATGATAATCACATGTTAATTCTGATTAGCTGAAAATGAGATTTTCATGATTCATTCCTAAATAATCTTATTTAACTATACACTTTTTTTTACCACTGATATAAATTAATTTTTATTAAATAAAATTATTCGGCTGTAATCGGTTATCTTTAATCAAACTTCTCAATTTGGTTATCACCGGCTATTTCGATTTTGGTTATTGATAGTTTCACTTTATTCACTTATTTTATTAATTTTATTTTAAAAAATAGATAATTACTTGATTTGAAAATTGAAGTCTATTTATTTATATATAATTATATATTAACAATCTGATTTTATATATTCACGAGTCAAAATGTTACTTATCACAAAAAAGAAAATATTTCTATTTAAACTAATAATAATGATAATGATAATTGCCATGATATATAATGTCAGAATATGATGTAATTATGTGTGAAAAATGAAGGGATACGGAATGACGGAGGCGGGACCGGTGTTGACAATGAGCCTAGGGTTTGCGAAAGAACCGGTTCCGACAAAATCGGGTTCGTGTGGGACAGTGGTTCGAAACGCAGAGCTTAAAGTGATCGACACAGAAACCGGTTTGGCTCTTGGCTATGACCAGCCCGGCGAGATCTGTATCCGCGGGCATCAGATCATGAAAGGTTAATTTCTTTTTCTCCTTTTTATTTTATTTTTTTCTTTTAATTTCCTGCTCATATTTGTTTTGTAGACATCTCCCTTTTTGGATTTTTTTTTCCACTAAAATTGCATGAACACTTTTTCGGGTTCATATTTATCTAAACGTACAATTTTTTTAAAGAATAATAATAAGAAACAAAGAAAAAAATAAACTTCAAGCATTTTTTTACAGTTAATTTATATATAATATCAATAGTAAAATAAAAACAAATCCAAACTTGATTAGTTCAACCGGTGAGATGAGAACGCAAAACGTTTTTTCCGTCCCGAAGTCGAATCTCAAGTTTGGAGAGGAGGTGTATAATCCAAAATATATGGTTGGATCTCGTCCCCGAGATTATAATACGGTCTTTAGTTCAAGATTTACCAAAAAAAATGATAATTGTATCCATGAATTTATGATATCGATTTCTTTTCACGGGATTTCCATCTCATTATTTTTATTTTCGTCTTTTTAGAAATCCAACTTCTTTTTGTAATTAGATACTTCATTTTTAGTTTGTTTTTACTTGAGATTTGTATATATCACATTATATTACAAAAAAATACACGTCATTCGTTATTTAACGTGCTAAACACGTTATGATTTTTTTTAATTACAGGCTTTTTTTCACCAACAGTTGCAAAATACTGGAGCCTTGTTTCGTTGATTCTTTTTGCCTGCTAATATATTTACCAATTAGGTTTTCATAGTTTTTTCTCAATATAGATAATATTTATAACGTCCGTTTTATTATTTTCTTCACGTGGATATATATATATATATATATATATATATATATTTTTATATATAAAAGAGGATAACGACATGAAATCTACGTGGACCGGCAGAACTCGTAGATGTGATCACACTTTATTTTCTCACGTCACACTCGCACAACCACACACGCGTCCACGTCATGTTACTTGGGAGGATCCGCAATAACATAGCGGGGTAAAATTGAAAATACAAGATAGAATTAGGGGGTATTTGGGAAATTCATATTTTTACGGAAATTGTGGAGTTGGCGCAGAGTATTTGAACGACGCGGGAGCCACGTCAGCAACAATAGATGCGGAGGGTTGGCTCCACACGGGCGACATTGGCTACGTCGATAAAGATGATGAGATCTTCATCGTCGATAGGCTCAAAGAGGTCATCAAATACAAAGGATTCCAGGCAAGTCCTCTATCTATACACGTATATATATATATATATATATATAGATCCACCATTTTGAATATCAAAATGAATTCTTGCTGCTTTGGTAATAAATTTCATGGGGTTTTATTTTATAATGGTAATGAATGTGATATAACAGGTTCCACCGGCAGAACTAGAGGCACTTCTCATCAACCACTCTTCCATTGCAGATGCTGCTGTTGTCCCGTAAGTTCCATTCCACTTCACTAAATTCTTTATATACATATATATATACCATTTTTTTTTTCTTTCGAATGTCGTCTTTTCACCGCCCTCTCGGGCATATATATTCATAGGCAACGGGACGAAGTCGCGGGTGAAGTTCCCGTAGCGTTCGTGGTTAGGTCTAACGGATACGAACTCACGGAAGAGGACGTGAAAGAGTACATAGCCAAACAGGTACCTTTTCACAGCACAGCATTCTTCTGCTATATATTATCCAAATATCCAAACACAATTTTCCCTAGCTAGTCAAAATTTAATAGAAAAAAACAACCGGAACAAATGTGACAAATCTTGGAACAAATGTATGTGAACGTAAGAAGAGGTGTTTGTGATATATAGGTGGTGTTCTACAAGAGATTGCACAAGGTGTTCTTCGTTGCTTCGATCCCGAAATCGCCGTCCGGGAAAATTCTGAGAAAAGATTTGAAAGCGAGACTTAGCTGAATCCGTTTCCGTTTTATTTTTTCGGGTCGAATTCATTGATATGTATTGTGAAGTTCATTTGTAATCTCAGATTGTAGCTGCCATTTGTGTTTGAAGCTAATTAGGTAGAAGGCTTCTCCCTCCATTCTAAGTTTGTGTGAAGAAGACTTTTAATAAATTTTAAAAAAAAGGAGGAGAAAAATCGTAAGAAGTATTGTTTATGAGAATGACCACTTTCTTTTTGTCCGACAATTAGTTATTTTATTTTATATATAAACAATATTTGTTTGGTTGCAATTATTTAAGCCCTTTAAGAAACGATAATATGGACTATGAAATGTGACATATTGAACCTAAACTATGTGTAACGTAAATGTATGAGATGTATTATAAATATCAGGAATAAGTTTGGGATTTGGGAATCCGATCAATTTTAATTAAGGGAATAAACACAAACTGTAAGAACGAAGAACCGGTGAAATTTTTAGTGGTGAAATTAAAAATAAAGGAGGCGACAACAAAAAAAATAGCAAACAAATTTATTAACAATTATGAAATATTTTCACAAATGGTATGGAAAATTAAGAAAAATCACGCATAAATTAAATCGTGAGGATGTTTAAACAAGAAAAATGAATTACATATATAAATCTACAAATGACTGTACAATTGATCGGATAAATTAGATGGAAAAAGGAAAAATTGAAATAAAGACACGTGTCGAAAATCTATTGGTTAAACTGACGCAAAAGGCTTGTAAGAACAGGGGAGGGATTTGTCGTCTTCGTCAAAGTTCCGAATCTGAATCCCAAAGGTTGGCTAATTTTCTCTCTTCCCGGCGGCCAGAGTCCGAATCTTTTCTTCTTCAACGCATCGACGACATAACACTAGGATTCTCTCCCTCGGTCGTGATTTGTATGTTATTTAATTTGTTTCTTGTACATGATTTGCATGTTATTTTATCTCTGATTTCTTCGTGGATGTCAACTTCCCATCAAATTGTCGCGATCTCGTTCTCGTGCGTTGATCTTTGAGTAGTTTGGGAAACTAACTTCATCGGATTGAGTTGACGATTATTTGGGTTCGTTGGACAACTCCCGGATTTGGGTTTATAGTCCCTAGCTGTCATTTTATCGATGGAATTCGAAATCTGATCTATTGAAATCTGTGTTTTCATGCTGTGAAGGCGCGAAGAAAGAGGAGATACGATGATTCGACTTAAGCTTTACGCGGGTCTCAGTTTGGTTGCAACCTTGGCTGTGGTTTACCATGCTTTTAGCAGCAGAGGTCAATTTTACCCGGCGATGGTGTATTTGTCGACGTCTAAGATAAGCTTGGTACTTCTTCTCAACATGTGTCTGGTCATCATGTTCAGTCTCTGGCAATTGGTCAAATGCGTGTTTCTGGGTCCCCTTAGAGAAGCCGAGATCGAGAGGCTGAATGAGCAAGCTTGGAGAGAGCTCATGGAGATACTCTTTGCCATCACCATTTTCAGACAGGACTTCTCTGTTGTTTTCCTCACCATGGTCGTCACTCTTTTGTTGATCAAGGCTTTGCATTGGATGGCTCAGAAAAGAATGGAGTACATCGAGACTACTCCTTCTGTACCTATGCTGTCACATGTTCGCATAGTCTCTTTCTTGGGTTTCCTCCTCCTCCTAGATGGCCTCTTTATGTACAGTTCTATAAGGCACTTAATTCAAACACGGCAGGCTTCGGTTTCTCTGTTCTTCTCATTTGAGTAAGTATCTTTGGCTTCTTTTTGTTAGTGGTAGTAACTAGTTCAATTGGCTTGGAGGATCATTCTTATATATTTTCGCTCAGTACTTAGATGGGTTAAGAATACTATATCCTCGGAGAGTTGTTGGAAGAGAAGTTGTCAAGAGGGTATGGATTATATATAGATACTTTGTTTTATGATGTTTTAAGTGTTTCTTGAAAAGTGGATTTAGGACCAGGGCTCTGAAAGTTTTTGAGAGTTTGTTGAGTTTCCAAAACCTGTGAATTTCGAATATCCGAGTTTAGATCAGAGTGGTTCTCTGAGATAGTATGCGCCAGAGTTGCTTCGGTGTGCCTCATGCTTTGGTTATCGATTTTGTTCCCTTATATCCATATGTAGCTGGTATATTTCTACTATGTCTTTGCTGGAGCTGTTTAAATTTCAGAGTTTTAATTGTAAGATGTGATTTAAAGAGTTGTGGAAAAAGTATATAACCCTAAATATTTCTGAGTTTTTCAGTTGTTATCACGAAGGAATCATGGAATATACATCTATTGAATATGGATGGGCTTTTTGGTAGTGTGTAGGTGATAATATTTGCATGGGGATTTTTTTTTCGTGAAATCAGGTTGTGTGATGCTTCATCTAATTTAGTCATGTATGTAGTTGAACTATACCTTGGATATTCATTTGACTTTCTTTTTCTTTTTCCTTTTTTTTTTTCAAATTTTCGTATCAAGGAATTTTGGTTTAAAAGTTTGTTTTCAGATTCAAACTTTCTAGACTATATTTCATCTTGCCATATGTTATTTAACTGATAAGTTTCTGTTGCAGGTATATGATACTGGCAACAACAACTATTTCGATTATGGTAAAGTATGTTTTTTATGTCAGCGATATGATTATGGAAGGTCAATGGGAAAAAAAGCCAGTGTATACGTTCTATCTGGAGCTTATTCGCGACCTGCTTCACTTGTCTATGTATATCTGCTTCTTCCTTGTGATATTCATGTAAGTTTCCAATTCCATTTCATCTTCCACTAATCCAAATCATTGATATTATGCCTAAAAATCAAAATTGGAACCCATGCTGACTAATCAGTGATACTGAAGTTGTGGCAGTTGCTATTATTAAGTCACTTTTGTCCTACACTATTTATCGCTGCAAATTGGCTCCAAGAGTAAATTTACTTGCACAACACGATCTTATGTATTTTTATCTCTCGGTTATAGGCCGCCACAACATTGAGTAAAACATTTGATCAATCTATAAACATGTCAGTGTCATGTTTTATTCACCTTGTGTATAATTAGGGATGTCAAAATAATGCATCAATAGGATAATGAAGCTTGATAACTTTTAAAAAAAGTGATGCAAGAGATGGTTCATAGTGGTTTCAGTCCAGGGGAGGAATGGATGGAATGGGAGGAAGTTTTACTAGTTCTTCTTCTTCCACAGAAGAACGCTTGTTATATCCTTGGTTCCTATTAAAGGGAAACCTTTTCAATACAGTACAATGCATGTCTAATCTTTTTAGATCAAAGATGCTTGGACTTTGCATAACATTATGCTTCTTTTGGTCTCAAATGTTTTTTCTTTTGGTCTCAAATGTGTTCATGTCTAATTTGAGTACTTCCATTTATTATTTAGGAACTATGGTGTTCCCTTGCACTTGATACGGGAGCTCTACGAAACGTTTAGAAATTTCAAGATTCGTGTTGCTGATTACCTCCGCTATCGTAAAATCACTTCCAACATGAATGATAGGTTTCCTGATGCAACCCCTGAAGAACTCAATGCGTAAGTTTCAGATATCCACAGAAGATTTCCGTTTCTTGGGTCTTGAAATGTTTTATCAGCTCTCCGCAACTGCTTCTAAAATCATGTGGAACTCTAGGCAATTCTTCTCTATTCTGGCCCTTAATTTCTTTCCATGGATATGCAGTAATGATGCTACCTGTATCATATGCCGTGAAGAAATGACCACTGCTAAGAAACTTATATGCGGGCATCTGTTTCATGTCCATTGCCTACGGTCATGGTTGGAGCGGCAGCATACATGCCCTACATGCAGAGCATTGGTTGTACCTCCTGAAAATGGCACATCAGCAGCCACTGGCCAACGTGGATCACACCAAGATTCTCCTCAGCAGGGTATTCATCCTGCTGCACTCTTGCGTATCCATTTATGATGTCATTTTGTACTCTTTGCCGTGCCATTATTTGAGATTCGTGAAAATGGGAGTTATTCAATGTCTGAGTTCAGCTTCTATGAGCTTAAATATCCTTAGTTTACATGGAAATTTTAGGCCTCAGGTCCTTTTTTGTTTCCTTCTTTTTCTGCAATTGCAACCGGAACAGGTGCTTCAAGTTCGGGTAGTCAGTCGTCTTCTGTTACTGCTTCCAGTGATAGTTTGAGCAGGCACCAAGCCAGGCTTCAAGCTGCTGCCACTGCAGCCTCCATATATGGAAAATCCTTTGTTTATCCATCTGCAAACACACTAATGTGGTATGTATGTATGTATTACATTGTACACCTGGATTCTTTGTTGCTTGGTTTTAGCACTAGAATTTAGTGTAGAGTGAAGACTCGATTTTCTCATTAACTTTATACATTTTCAACCAACAGAATTAGGTCGGCCTTACCGAAATGTCATTGCATGGACTGAATAACAGAATACTCAGACATGATTTTAAGTAACAAAGTATTCAGACGAGAAAATCTTAGGAAGCTAAGGACTGTATAACAAAGGAACCTTCAGCTATGTGCTTACATATATCATCTTAGTTTAATTTTTTTACTGCTATAGTTTCAGCTATTCTAATCTCAGTTTCCATCTCATTCCATCTATTTTCTGGTTTTTTGCTGGCATAATCTTTTTGTAACTCTTGTTTTCCTCCAAGAATATGTTGGAAAACCAATTAACGCACGGGTTTGATGAATTTCATGAAGGTCTCCGGGTTATTCCTTGGTTCCTCAAACTGGTTTACCTGGTTCCTCAGAAGGTGCAGAGCAGCAAGTGTCTTTCCAGTCTTTTCCTCATGGGTTTCTGCCATTTCAGCTGCCTGGGTATGTGGCTCCCGGAGAAAATTCAGATGCGAATCCAGAGATTTCAGAGGCTCAGCTGGAAGCTCAGAGAAAATTCCTTCAATCCCAGATTGAGGTAAGCTTCCGCAGACCTCTCCGTACTCGTTCGTCCTTGATTTCTACAAGTCTAAAATATTTTTCAGTCCAGGTATGAATTATGACCATCAGTTGAACCCCCCCCCTGCTTTAGACATAAGACACCAAATCTGGTCCGAGCTCAATCTCTATGTTGGCTGTTGAGTTCTGTTTTGGTTTCAGATTGACCCAGACTTGGAAACTTGTGAATAGTTTACCAATAAATTTTGTAATTTGTACTGCTGATTGGGTGCTGATGTATGCAAGGGAGTCAATTTTAGTTTAAGCTTAGTATGATGGCTCCGAATGCCCGAAAAATCCTTAGAATATTTCTGGGTCAAGAACATCACAAGTCTCTGTGCCTTTTATAGTGTGATGCATTGGAGAAGAGCTTCAACTACATGATGCTACACTATATGAGATATACATTATTGTCTGGATTTCGGTTTTTCTCTTGAGGGTAGTTCTCATTTAGAACACACTAATATCCAAGCTTAAATTAACAGACACATCTATGATATAGGATGGTTACTCAGCGGTTTAACGGCCGTGCAAAGCAGACACACTTGTCCCTGCACGGTTAATGAAACATGGATTCAAAGTATGCACGGTTAACTTTTTTGTGGATTTGATCGTATTTGATCATATGCAGGTGTTACAACACAGACTTCGACTTCTTGAGAAGTCCGAATCCGCAGATTCCCGAGTAGGAATCGATAAAGATGCAAAAGGAAAGTCGGTCATGGAGACGGATGAGTGAGAGTAGCAGGTAGGGAATGTGGTGGATTTGGAGAAGAGTGAACGGCCGAAGAAAAAGAAATAGGATGTGTAAATGGTACTTACTACTTAGTGAGAAAGTTCTGAAGTGAGGCATGAAAAAAAATGATTTTGAAAGTGTAAATGTTGTTGCACTGTTCTCAGAGGTTGAAGCTTAAGTTACCACAATGAAAGTGATTTAACCAGTATATTAGGACTGACCAAGTGTTATTACTTATTTGATCAGTCATTTGGTCAGTGTTAGGGCTCGGTGCCTGGAGGTACTGTCCGAAATTTGGATACTTGATCAAAGGAGTGCGGGTTCGAATTCAGGCTTCGTCGATCGATTATTCGTATCCTCTGGTAATCCGAGTCACGAGGGAGCGTGAGGCCATGAGGGGTGAGATGCGGGAGGGGGGCGACAGGGGCTGCGGATCCGACAATTTCAGCAGCTGGAAGGTGTTGAGGTGACAACTTGAGTTTCGCTTTCGAGCAAGTTTGAGTTTTATTTAGTGATTTCGATTTTTTTAAAGATTAAAAAAAATCGATTTCGATTCGGTTCCGTCTCACCTCACTGTGCCTCTTCGGTCAAATTACGTCTCTCCTTGGCTCTCGCATCGCCGGTCGTCGGATCCATGCGATCACTACCATTCATGCGAGTGGATCCTCATTATAAATAGATGGTCCCATTTATTTGACCGTGACATAGAGCCATCTTCTCGTCTCAGGCCTTAATCAATGCTGATGTTTATGCTCTTTCCCGGTTGTATCAGGACTAAAATTCTGCTGATAGATCATGTTTTAAGTTACACCAAAACTCGTCTCAGGCCTTCCATCAGATCAAAATTTTTGATACACAAAAAGCTTCAATCAGCTCTCAGTCCGAGTCACCGTCATCTGCTTCATCCGCCTTCTGAGCCGCATTTCCGATCTGAGTACGCCGTAGAGCTGAAACAGTACGAGACCATGGAAGATGACAAATAGTTTTAACCTATACGAGTTCAATATGTAGCATATATAAGCAGAACAATTCAAAACTCACATTTTAGAGAAGAACCGGCAAGACATGTCAATCTCGATTTCGTATTGGTCTCGGCTAATGGTTTTGCCTTCTCCTTCACGGCCATTCGGATATCCCAAACTCGTATGATCCCGTCAGATGATGCAGAAGCTACCAAGAACGGGTCTTCCGAAGCACCATCATTATCGTTCCTCGTAAGAACAACAACTCCTTTAATACGAGCAGGGTGAGCGTCTTCAATGGAATAAGCAACCTTCCCGCAATTTGTGTCCCAAGCCGTGATTGCCCGATCCTCTCCAGCCGTAAACAGAGTCCCATTCTGTTGCGGAGCAAACAAAAGTAGCAAATATTCACCCAAAAGAATCGATTTTATGCACTACAAAAGGGTGCTCACCTAGTACGGAATATCTAATCAAAGGCTCAACACAACACGAATCCAGAAAAAAAAGTCAGCCGCATATTGTTTCCATGGTGTTTTTCGGGGTAAAACTGCCCAACAGGAATTCATAATCTTTCACAAAATACTTTTCGACAGAACTTGCTTTCGTATCATAAAAAAGGCCGCTTTGGGAACCAATGCACGATCACGAAAACACACCGAAACAGGTAAAGTTTTTGATCTACAAATGTAAACGATCTGGAAATTGCATTGCCAAAGCTGAAGCCGACATCTTTCTTTACATCTAAAACTAACAGAGAATGTTCTGGCAAGAACCTCAAAACCGCTATTAAAGAAGATTCACGCAGGTAGTAAAACACGTTCATAGAAGATTCTGAGACCACACGCAATGCAATCAACTACATATTCCAATCTTTGATTCGAATAAAGATCTAGAATTTTCGCCTAAATCAATCGTGGGTTAACTAGATACCGAGCAAAAGTTCAAGCTTTGAGGAGAGAGAGAGAGAGAGAGAGACCTCTCCAGGGGAAGCACAGAGAATCCTCTTGCGACTAGGGTTCTCAAGCTCAAACAGAAGCTTTGCATCTTCAGCTTGATGGACTCCAACCTTGCTATTCACCACCATGAAGAACTTCTCCCCGCTGGAATCAAACTTCACAAGACTTGCTTCATGACCTAATCTGCAACAGAAGCTCCTCTTTCCCCTCACCAGATTCGACATCGCCAAGCACTCGTCCCGAGACACCGTCAAAGCAAGCTTTCCCGAGGGATGAATCGCCAGATCATTCACACCCTTCTTGTGAGGCCGAAACGACTTGAGCAACACAAAAGGGTCAGCGTCGAAGATGGCGACGGATCCGTCGGCGGCGGCGGAGACGAGGTTGCGCGGGAAGGAGAGCGACGGAGGGGTGAAGAAGGAGAGGGCGGTGATGGAGGCGGTGTGGTTGTGTCCCAGCAGGGAGCCAAGGGAAGCGGCGGAGGGGAGGTCATAGAGGTGGATGGCGTCATCAGAGCCTCCGGAGGCAGCGGCGGGTCCGGCGGCGGCGACGGTGGTGATAGGGGAGATGTGGGAAGGGTAGGAGAAGAGAGGAGCTAGGGTTAGGGTTTTGGAGTCGTCTTCATGCTTGGAGGGTTTAAGCTTGAAACCCCATATGAATCGCTCGTAGGAGCCTGCGATGAGGCTCATGGTGAACTGTCTCTGAGGTTTTGGGCTCTGATCAAAATGCTAGGGTTTTTAGGTGCTGCTTGTAGATGCCAAATTAATACTCCTCTGCCAAAAAAATAAATTAATTAGTTTTTAAGAAAAGGAAAATTGCAACATGTTTATATTCTTTATAAAAAATATAAAACAATACACTTGTAGTATGAGTACAAAAAATTATTTTTTTCTTTACTTTCATTTGAAATTATAATCAAATATGATTTTTTATTCCAAATTTTCATCTTATTTGGAAATATTAAATAATAGTGTTACTTTTTCTATTTTAAATTTGATATGAATAAAGATATACAACCAAATATATATTGTTTGAGAACTCTCATAAATATAATATAAATTGGTTTATAAATAACCCAAGATGTGATAACTATCATAATATAATATAAATTGGTTTATAAATACAGAATGAAAATAATAACAGTTACGTTTTATTTTAGTTTTCTGTTACGTATAAAATCGATTTGATATGTAAATAAATAAACCAATTTATATTATATTTAGTATTTATAATATACAAATTATATACTTAAATAACCTTTTTTTAATACTTTTATATCATGTATAATATTTTTCTAAATACAAATTTCTAAGCTTAATTTAAGTTGAATTTCTTTTAGCTATTTTCTCCCTGTATGTATATATATATATGTCTACGTGCCTGAATATATGCACATATTTACATTAATCTCCTTTTCCTCCAATTTCCCACTTTGTTTTTCCCATTGCTTCCTTTCCCGGTGGTTCCTGTTTTCTCCTACATGAGAGGGTTTAAGTCCTAATACGCTGAATCCGGGTGCAACCGAGAGATGGAATCCGTGACTTCGAGTACGATTCTCTGATTCTCCGTCCGAAGAGGGCTGGACCCGTATCTTCTGCTATGGAAGTCGAAACTAACATCTGGAATCGCTAATTTCAGAATCAGGGGTCAAGGGTTCTGCTAATTTCCATCGTTCTTAAGAAAATGATGAATCTTGCGCGCGGACGATCCGTTCAAAGCTCATTCTCCCGCATTATCCACCGTGTATGCTTCGCTTTCTCTCCCTTCCTCTTCATTTTGTTGTGTTGTTGGATTCTGTATAACGATTTCAATTAATTTCATATGCAGAACGGTAAGGTGGGATTCGCTAAAGCTGATTTTGGAAGGTGATTTTTTTACTTCCGATTCAATTAGTGTGTGTGTGTGTGTGTGTGTGTGAGAGAGAGAGAGAGAGAGAGAGAGAGAGAGAGAGAG